CTCATTCAGTCCTTTCTAAAGTGAAGTTTTTGCTCTGGACAATGGCTTTAAATAAATGTCTATCCAAAGTTAATCTAATGAAACATGGCATTCAGATTTCGGACATGTCATGTGGCTTATGTGGTGGGGTAGTAGAAACTACTGAACATCTGGCCTTACATTGCCCAGTCTCAAATTATATTTGGAGGCATCTTCTCCAAGCTTTGGAAATCAGCTGGGTAATGCCAAATTCTGTGAAGGATCTTCTGTGGTGTTAGCAGATTGAGGGTCTCAGCAAGAAAGGTATCTTGATTTGGAAGACTATCCCGGCTGCTGTGCTTTGGACTATCTGGATTGAAAGAAATAACAGAATTTTTCAGGGCAAAGCTAAACCTTCAGAGGAAATGGTGCAGAAAGCTGTGGGTAAACTTCTGTCCTGGATGTCGGCATCAGAGTTGTTTAAAAATCAGAATTTGAGTCTTTTGTTTAGGTCTCAGAACTGGTTGTATCTGTAATTTGTGGCCTAGGCTCCTTTGTACTGGTCCTTATTTTAATAAATTACCTTACCTTTTCAAAAAAAAATAAAAAATACCACACTCTAGCACCAATCACTGGTATTAAACTCATACCTTGCCTTGATTGTTATGCTAATTAGCATTTTCCTGTTTCCTCAATTAGAAAAGAGAATTATCTTAAAAAGAAATGAAAGAAAAAACAAGATGTGTACAAAGAAGAATAAAAGCTAAAATGGGACAAGGCATTGCCTACCCCTTTCCACCCCGACCCAAAAAGCAAGTAAACATGAAACCAAAACACCAACCATGCAGATCTACATGCATGGTTATCAAGGCAGCGAAGTGAGACCAGGAGAGAGGGTACCACCTTGCCACTATTAGTTGGTGGTGTTTTGACAAATAGGATCTATAATTCATTGGATATGATTGATTTTGACACATTCCACATTTTTCAATTTCTTATTATTTTATATTGAAAATATTAAAATTACAAAATTTCCAAAACTGATTAAAAATAATGAACTTTGCATGTAAAAACACATTATATCATTTTTATAAGTGACAAGAAATATTTTATTAATACGAACAAAAAATTATGAAGAATGCAAAGCTTCCCATGGGGAGGCATGTAAAACTACCTCACCGTGCAGTAAATTAGTAGTTATAATTGAGCCCAATACAAATGATCCCTCTTGACTCCTTAGTTAAAGTATCAGCCAACCCATTTGCAACTCTAAGTACCCATTGAGTTTTAATCACAATTTCATAATACAATATTGCATCTAATCCTAAATTCCAATATTTCATGTACAATATAATCAATTTCGTTTGGTAAAGCAGCAAGGCATATTTAAAATCATGATTTTCCATATTATAAAAATCCAAACAAACAGGGGAAATAAGTCAATAATATAGTGTGAGTTCTAACAAACAAATATTACAACACACTGAAGCAACACAATAAGCAAAGCAAAAGAAGATTGAATCAAAAGAACGAAGGATCTCAGAAAGAATCCAAGCAAATAAGTAATAAACAACATGCTAATAAATAATATGCATACATGATCTGCAGAGCTGAAAAATGACAAAATTGAATTGCTTATCCAACTAAAGACAAAGTAAATCTCAAAAGAATCATTGTACCCACACAGCCAGTGGAAACCCAACAGCAGAAAGCATGTCTGCAGCAAAGAGAGAAAAAGCACCCAAAATACCCGAGCAGTGAAAACCAAACAGTAAGGATGTGTTTTTTTCCACATAAAAAAGGTGAAAAACAAAGTTTTCACCATAAACAAGCCAAAAATTCATTATTATTTATAGTGGATTGGCTCAAGGATTTTATGCTTCCAACCTGACAATCATCCTCCTTTATCCAGGCTTGGGATGTGCAGCGTAAAATAGCCAGTTATTTTTTATTGGAAATGGTAACTTTCATTCATTATTTCATAAATAAATACACACCAAACATTCCATGATGGAAAGTTAATCCCATAAACATTTCCACTATTATAATACAGCCAAAAAAGTTCACCGCTGTTTGATCCTTGTTTGGCTAATGCATCAGCCAGGCCATTGGCTGTTCTTCTAACCCATTTGGAATCTGCTTCAATTTCCTTTCAGACACCATATCTCTCTCACAAGAGTCCAGATTCCTAGATTTCCGGCTTGCATCCACTCTATTACTATCATTGAATCCCCTTCTACTTCAATCCGATGTAGTCCCATTTGTTTTGCCAGTCCCAGTCCTTGCAGTAAAGCTAGCACCTCAACTCTTAAAGAATGCCCAGAACTATATGGCCCGGATAAAGAGCCACAATTTTTCCTTCACTATCTCTAAAGACTCCCCCTACAGCTGAAGGCCCCGGGTTACCAAGTGAACTCCCACCGAAATTTATCTTTACCCTTTGTTGTGTAGAAGTTGCCCAACTTTCTTGAATTGCTGACTTGGATTTTGAAGAGTTTTCTACTGTACTCCATCCCCTAATTGTATCATCCATTCAGAACTCCTTAAACAAACTCAACCGTTTTTACCCAATGTACCACCATAATAGTGATGCGGTTAATCAATTCCTCCCTCGATTTTCCTTTTCCTTAAAATACCCTGCTATTTCTTTCTTCCCACACTGCCCATAAAACTGCTACTCTTGTTGCCCTCCATAACATCCTTCCCCTTTTCTTTAGTTGCCTAAAAAATAAAAAAGCTTGTGTCAAAGAGGCCTGACACATTAGGAGGAGGAATCCACCTGCAACCAAAGAGAGAAGAAAACCACTCCCAAATAGAAGAGACAAAAGTGCAAGAGATTACTAGGTGCTTGGTAGTCCCACCACAATCAAATTGAAGGAAGCAGATATGAGGGGAGAGGCACAAGTTTGGCCTTCTTTTTTGAAGCATGCCACAGGTGTTGATCTTCAAATGAGYCATTTCCCAAAAGAAAAAACACCAAATTTTGGAGGCACTGGGCTGCACCAAACCTCCTTAGATGGAAAAGACGCTTCCACATTTGAAGAGTGAACGAGCGTGTTGAAACAAGAAGAGTAAGAATAAATGCTAGAAGGGGAGGCCGGCCAAATCCTACTATCCTCACAAGAAAAAACCAGAAAAATGATGCTGAAAGGAGGAAGAAGTTCATCCACTGCCCCCATTCCAGCATCCCTAAGCCCTCTCTGCAAGCCCAAGTCCCAAGAGTCCCCATTACAATGAACAGAAGCAATCACTTTCCTCTTATTCCAATAAGGGGCTATGGATGGGAATCTATCCATGAGAGGAACTTCCCCCAGCCAAACATCTTCCCAGAAAAGCACTTTATTTCTAGAACAAACATCAAACCTAAGAAACAGACAAAGAGAAAGGGTAAACCCATGTATGGCCTTCCAAGGGGACGAACGGAAGCCCTAGGGTTGAGACCAACATCCCAGCTATTAGCTGCCCTATCATGAATACTTGCTATAACTTTATGCCACAACTTATCCTACTCATGAGGCCACCTCCAAATCCACTTCCCCAATAAAGCTATAGTCCTCTTCTTCATATTGCCAATGCCCAAACCCCCTTGTTCCTTACTTCTGGAGACCACCTCCCACTTTAGTTTCACCCAGTTCCCAGAAGAAATCCCTCATAATTTTCTCTAACTTCCTAGCCACACCCATTAGAATACTAAAGGTAGAAAGAGAGTACACTGGCAGATCCACTAGTGTGGACTTAATTAAGATGATTCTTCCCCCGATGGAAATATATTTCTTTTCCACCCTACTAACTTCTTCACAATCTTTCTAGAACTGGGTACCAAAAGCTCACCAAATCCTAAGACCCCTTCCCTTGCCTTCACCTCTTGTTGAAGACTCCCAGCTAGCCTCCTCACAGTTGAAGAAAAACAGAATTTGCTCCTTCTCCCATTGGAGCCAGACTCATATCATAGTAGTTAGAACAAGATGTTGTTGGATTATGCTAAATGTATTGGCAAGGATCTCTTTTTTAAGCCCCCCCCCAAGAACTCTGATATTTCTAAACACCAATCATGAAAGATATACCAAAAGGTCTGCTTATCTTCACAGCTTCCTTCACATTAATGCAAGGAGTTGAAGATTCTCTCCTTGCATCTTGTAAGGTGATGGGATGTCAATAGTCTGTAGAGTTCTGAAAGTTGGAAACAATGATGCTACCACAGAAGGGTTTGTGGACGCCAATAGACAGAGATTGTAGATCCAGAAGGCTCTGAAACCAAAGAACGGTGCAGAGGAACTAGGTACTGTTCCTCTGCAATCAAGCACGATAGTGTGACAGTCACCTACAAGATGCAAGGAGACTGTCACGCAAATCGTGCTTGATTCTGAAATATTCTTTTGTCAGAAAAGCATCTTACTTAGTAATGCCAGCTAAACACAGGCAAGTAAGAGCAAAGCACGAAGGAACTAGGTACCAATCAGAGTGTCTTTCCCAAGTCTTCATGCCATGTGTTACTGTCCTGTGCACTGCTTTGCTTAGTGAAACACTGATTGAGTGTGTTACTTCACAAGATATGAGGAAAAGAATTCGTGGATTAAAATGATTATAAGATCTAAATAACAAAAGAACAATCCCAGGATCCAACTCAGATCTATGATCCATCACAAGCTCTTTAGAATTTGAAATCAAAAACACTCCAAAACTCCTCTATGATTAGTCTTTAAAAGAGAAACCATCTTTTCTACCAATATCCTTAGGATCCAGATCTGCTGCCTGATGAGGATCATTGACAACCAAATACCAGAAGACTTCTGGGAAGACCCAACCAGAGATCAGGCTAAAACAATTGCGAGAGACATGTATTAGTCAGAACTAACTTGTAACCTTTTAACCAGGTATGATCTAATTAGGCATCGAATAGGAATATGTATTATGGTGTATGCTATTTGCCAAATATAATCTTGATTAAGAACACTATGGTAAATACCAAGCTAGAAATGGTTCAGTAATGCTTCAGAATCAATAGGCTTTAGGACAAGTCAGACAGTAGAAATAAAGTTTTAAGATTCACAACCAAGCAATGCCTAGAAATAACCACAAGGAAGGAAAGACAAAAGAGGGTGATTTCCAAAATAAGATTGGGGTAGAAGTGGGTATGTGCTTCCTGAGTTTTGTATAACAATACATAACAATCAGACAAGGGAAATTTTCATAAGCCAATCATAGTAAATCAGGTATAATGAGGGTAATGAGAATGAAAATGTTGAAATAGATAACAGAAAGAATAATAGGGATAGAAGCAGTTTCAATACACAGAACAATGAGGGAAAAGTCAATTGGCATAGGGAATGTGCGGAACTGTGGTGTTGCATTCCCATTTAAAGTTATATAAGTGTCATTAAGGCATTTTGACATTTTGACTTCATGATACATGCTTGGTTTGGCAGATTTAAGTTCAAACATTTGTACCATCATTTACATCGGCTTATGAATATGGGGGTGTTGGGAAAAATAAACAAATGCTCATTGTATTATGTGCCAAAACACCTTAAACTTTCCAATTTCCAAAACTGCAATTTTGGAATGTTGAGACTTAAAACACCACAGTACCAAACACCATCAAAGTGTGGTTATGTGCATCAAAATAAATAATTGGAATAGTGAAAAAGAATAATTCTGTACAAGTCAAGAGAGTCTAAAAGGTAAAGGGAATGCCAAAAAAGCACAAGGAGAAATAGAAAGTAAAGATTTGAGGACCTATTTTAACCAAAAATATGGCTGCAAGTAGGGGTGGATTCAAGCCGAGCTGAGCCAAATAGTACGAGGTTCGAGCTMAAGCTCGAGCTCGGTTCGGGCCAAAACCTTGAGCTCGAACTCGGCTYGAGTCAAAAATTCATATGCTCGAGCTCGATTTTGAGAAAAAATATTTTATAAAAATAAAAAATTATATATAAAAATATTTTTATTTGATATTTAAAAAATTAATAATTATAATATTTTTATTATATATTATTTTCTATAATTTTATTATATATATTATAATATATATTTATATATTCAAGTCGGCTCGCGAGCCTTACGAGCCGAGCTCTAGTAGGCTCAAGCTCAGCTTGTTTCATAATCAAGCCAATGAATTGGGCTCGAGCTCGAGCTCGAGCTCAGTTGAAACCGAGTCGAGCCGAGCTCGAGCAGCTCGTGAAAAGATCGGCTCGTTGCCACCCCTAGCTGCAAGACATTACAGAATTCATGAAACTAAGAGCAAGTTGATACACCTGTACATACATATACACACGTGCATGTATGTGTTTTCATATGTTATTGTGTATATGGTTTTATTTACTAGTAAGACAATTTCCACTCAATAAAAATGTACTAAATTAGGATTTTTTTTATATTTTGATATCTGAGTAACTCCTTCAACAAAATGAAAATCTACCAATAAAGTAACAAGTTAAGTCAACAACACATTTGAACAAACATACTGACATCTAAAGAATTAACAAAACTGAAATAAGATTATAAGAAATATCTTCATGTTACCATTTGGATTATAAAAACAGGAAAAAAATGCAATATTCAGCAGGAAAGAAGAAGAAGAAGGGAGAAAATGTGGGAAAGAAGGGAGGAGAAGAAAAATGTCTGTTTGCCACCCCTCTCTCATCTATTTATAATAAAGAATAAAAGTCGTATGATGCCAAAAATACCCCCTGGCTGCCCAATGTATATAAAAGCAACATAACAACAAAATAAAGAGAAGCAAAACAACAACTGAATATCAATGAATAAATAGAAAACATACTTCTAAACTAGCATCTCAACATTACAAATTCGAAGAAATCAGAGTTTTAAGAAAAATAAGTGATTAAATTTTGTGAAAGATAATGATCTGTGGAGCTAAGCTTGAAGCACGTTTAAAATTTAATTAAATACCACTTATATCTAAAACACTTTCTAAACTAATGCTACAATTCTAGCATTAGTAAAAACTAATGCTAGAATTTAAGACATTTGCAATGTCATTTTTTTTTGAAGAGGTAAAGTAAGATTTTATTAAGGAAAACACAACAAAAGATACAGGAAGGGTTCACTGCTCAAAGGCTGTGCAAGAGAAACACCTTAGGAATCCCAAATCCTCAAAAAAGTTAACCACTACACCAGCACTAGAAACATCTCTTTTGACATTTGCAATGTCATTATGGAAGATAGAACAGAATAAAAAGGAAGAGAAAAGAAAAACCCCACCTCAAAAGGAGCAAGGCTTGTTTGTCCATCAAGATTCAAAATTGAAATGCCCATTACCAGCTTGTATAAAGGTTCTGCAGTACAATAACAAGCTAATAGCCCCAACATATAATTATAGTAATTTGAGCTCAAATAGAACCTCTTCACCGTAAAGTCCCTCTTAATCCGCCATGTACGATAAAAGCACAAACCCAGGAGAACCAAATGGGAGATAGAAACCACCAGAGTGTCAACTCCACATGGTGTATACGGGCCTAAGGCATTCTCCACTGCTTTTTTCCATACTCCATTTTCGACAGGCTTACAGTACCAAACAAGTGGCTTAAAAGCCATCTTCTATCACTTCTCCACTATTTCCTACTTCCTCCACTAAGCAGACATTGTAAACACGCCCTTTTCGTTTCTTCTCAACTGGAATTATTGGGTGTTTGACAATCGTGGTTTTACAAGGTACTCTCAATCAGTAAGTTTTGGGATAAGCAGCCTATTCAATACTTTGTTCTTAGTATCATCCAGACACTGCTTGATTCCCACAAGAGGCGATTCCTGCAACAAATAAACCATCTTAGAAAAGGAAGAAACAGAAGGACAATATCTGTTAAAAAGAACCAGATACATTTCTAGTGCAATATGTTTGATATTATTTTAGAACTTCTAACTCTTACACAATATCAAACTCTGACATAAATTCACAGAGGCGGCGGTTCAGTGATTACTGAAATTGTTTTGTTTCAGAAATTGGCTCTGATTAAGATCAACACCTACCCAAATCTTCGATTACTAAAACTTGGTTTCAGAAAAAAGCTTTTGTTAAGATCACCATCCATCAAAACACCAAGCAAAGATAATACTAGTTATAACAAATCCGAAATTTTCCGCTGCTGTTAGAAGTTTAATAGAAACTAGTCAACAACTACTAATAAAACGTATACCTCCAGAGCTAGCTTTTTTCTGTCTACAGCTTCCACGGAAAATCAAAAAGGGCGGTGTAACTTTACAAGTTCTGAAACTGAAGATGTAAAGAAGAAGAAGAAGAAGAATAATGATGAAATAAGGATAAAGGAACTTTTCAAGCCAAAAATGATAATAATAATAATAATAATAATAATAATAATAATAATAACAATAAAGGACAAGGATCGAAAAGTAGAACCCAAACAAACAAGAGACACCGATCAACTAATATCGGATTAGAGCCCCAGAAATTTCAAAAGTTTTACCGATTTCTAGCTGTAACAGCGAACTTTCCTCGGCCTTTTTCCCGTGGCCGTGGGATTTGGAAATTTGGACAAACGCGACCATTAGCAAGGGTCAGCCATTACGAATAAATTTCGAGTTTCAGCCTACAAAAACTAATATTATTTTACTTGTAAAGAAAGTGAGACTCGCGAATCGTGTCAGCGACTGCGGGGAGTGCGATTTAGAAATGCGAATGTAACTTTTTTTCTTCTCGAGGTTGGTACTTGGAACGGGCTTGGATATGCTACACAAAACTTATTCCCACTTTCCTACGCACAAGACATAACAGTTGCGCATTGAGAATCTCTCTTTCCATTGATAGGTAGATTATTCACAATACACGGCTGCGGTGTTTGGTGGGGCGTGTGGGAACAATATCTGCGTAGAGATCCGGAGTGACTTGGAACTTGGTGGAACGAGACGTGATTCATACAGCTGTACCAATCATGGAGCCAAAGTCCTCCTTGTGCGTATTGCGCCCCCGGGTCCGGTAAGTCTATTTCTTTTGTGATGAATGCTGGTCGAGTCTACACCTACTACTCCAAAAACGTTCAAAAAGTAAACTTTTTGCTCCTTTTTTAAGAGGAAACGGACAAACGGTGCTGTTGTAGCTACAAGTTATCATTTTCGTATTCGCATAATCGCATCGTATAACCCGTGGGTCCACATTTTACGTGACCCACCAATCATATTTCACCCTATCATTTAAAATTTTATTATCCTTGAATGATATTTAACGGTTATTATTGGTCATGTGACTAATTCCAATCATTTTCGAATAAGTGATTATTCATTTTTGGATAAATTTCTTAAATTAATCTTACGGTTTAGCTAATTAAATAAGCGTATCCCTATTGTTTGAAAATTGATTGACGCTCCGATAATTGGATAATCCTTCTTAGTCATTAATGTGTAGATGTGAAAAAGACTATTTTATCTTCTACTATAATTACTCGGATCTCTCCCTTTCCTTCTCATTTTCTTTGTTAGAACTATTGGAACCGTTGGAACTGTCGGAATGGAAGATGATGACCGGATTTGGGTTCTTTGAGAGATCTAGATTCCTTGCAAAGAATCTGAGAGATACTCAAATCTAGGTTCCTTACTTGAATTAATGCTCTTTCTTTTGATTTTTTAGAATGGAGTAAACATCGGCGAAATAAGCACTTGCGACATATTGACACTACCCCTACACTCCACTTCAAGGACAACACCGCGCAACCAGCAAAAGTCACCCATCTCCRGGGCCTCCTGAAATAACCTATTGAACTTCATCGAACCACCGAGGCCGCCTAGACCTCCCTATGCTCACCGGAAGAGGAAGGCAAAGGTGAGGAACGAAAAAAGAAGATTTTCAATGTGTGTTGGAGTTACCCTCCGAACGGGAAAAGTCTGTCAACACCGTTCAAGTTCCTCTCAGTTGAGTGCTCCCTACCGCTCGATCCAACTTCGTCGAACTCTCCGCCTCTCTATGTCTCTTCCGCTTCCCCTTCGTTCTCTCATTCACTTCCCATATTTCATACCTGTGAAATTTCGATCACAGTCATAACTGAAGGGATGGGATATCCATCACATGGACACCCAAGTCTTGCGGAATGGACTGGGCGAATTTCAAAAATTTCTCCCATCTTTGCAGGGAATCGAATTCCCTATTTTAGAAAAACATATTTTTCAATGATCAATCTTGAACCATGAACCAAACCAGATCTGAACCAAAACGAGTAGGAGGGAGGATGTACCTGATACGGAGAAACA